GTTATAGCCATAAGAAATTTACAATTTAATAAGACTTTATGTTCTGTAACTTGTATTAATTGCCAATTTTGTGTTACTCTTGTTCAATTCAATCATAGTGCCTACAACTGGGAACAAATCAAATTTCATTTACATGATAATGTCTCTCTGAATGTACAATTACTGCAAAAGGAAAACTTTGAAACTTTTTCTAAACATCTGCCCTCTTTCACTAATTTGGAAACTTTAGCTAAACAGCTTGCTGATCAATTGTCTGGGCTAGACCCACGAAGATGGTTCCAAAGTATTACCCACAGCATCAGGTCTGGAACTGTAACTTTGGTGATTGTCTTGATAGTTGTATTTGTTGTTTATTGTCGCCTTTCTATAAGGTTGGTTAATACTAACCAAACTCATTTGGTCAGGATCTTTTTTACAAATATAATAAAATAGGGGGAATTGTCAGGAAGCATTTAACAGTAAGATTCCTGTGTGCTGTTTCCTATCTCTCTTGAGCGCTCTGTTCCTTATCAGTCCATGTCGGGGGTGAGAGGAGCAGGCAAGCCTCTCCCAGGACGGAGATCAAAGAGATGGGATGCTTGCATAGGGTTTCCTTTGTAAGGCACAGTTTGGGCCAAGGCAGAAAAGGAAAGACGACCTCAACAGAAGTGAATGAAAAGTTATCGTGTCTGACTCTTTTCGACCCCATGGACTGTAGCCCACCAGGCTCCTCCATCCATGGAATTTTCTAGGCAAGAGTACTGGAATGAGTTGCCATTTCCTTCTCCAGGGGAATCTTCCTGACCCAGGGATCAAACCCAGGTCTCCCGCACTGCGGGCAGATGCTTTATCGTCTGAGCCGCCAGGGGATCAACAGAAGTGGGTCACCTTTATTCGGGTAAGGAGAATCAACAGTCGGCCTAACAACCAGGCTGAGTGCCAAGAGGGATCAGGGAGGCTCCATATTTATAGTGAGGCTTGTGGAAGCGATAAGGGAAACGTTAATCAGATGGGATGTTTTGGGTATTCTTTAGTTGAGATGGCATTTGTAGTTGGACAGGGTGTGATAAGTCTTCTGGGCAGGTGTAGGGGGTGGAAGGTTTCTGGATAGGGACTGATAAGTCCCAGATAGATGCAACCTGCCTGGAGCATCAGGGCGGGACCTAAAGTTCTGTTTTGTTTTCTCCAAAGTTAGATGATTCAGCAAGGGCCTTTGAGACTGTTGTTTTCTTTCCTAGGCCCAAAAGACTCCTTCATTCCAGACCCTGAAATCATCAAAAAATGGGGAAAAGTGTGCTGTATCTCTCTGGCTACTTTCTGTTGGATAGGGGTGATGGTTTTGGGTCTGGGATGGAGGATTGTCCTAGGGCCCAGGGTTTCCTTTTTCTGAGCTTGGGGTGAGGCTCTTGAGAAGAAGAATAGTCTTGACCTGATCTTGAGAGATGGCCCGAATCCGTTCTTGGAGAAACCTTTGGAAGAGATTGAAGAGAGAGGGTCCAAATCAGAGGAATAGAATGATAAGTACCAATGGTCTCAGGAAAGGGAGCAACCAAAGGAGGGCCTGTTGGAACAGGTTTTGGGGAGTGTAAGATTTTATAACTCTTTCCTGCAGTGTTCAATTCTGTCTCTAAGTTCTTTGACTCTGCTCTGGACTTTGTCCATTTCATTAACAAAATAGCAGCAGTCTTCTCTTAGGAAAAGGCGTGTCTCTCCCTTTTCTGTGGTGAGAAGGTCCAGGGCTCACCTATTTTGTAGGGCCACAGAAGCTAATGAGTTAATTTGTTTTTGGATTGAAACAAAGGACTCCACTACCTGTTCAATGTCCTCATTAAGTTCTTGGGACAGCTTGTAATAGAAATGGGCAGAGGTTGAGGTACCTCCAATCCCGGTGCATAGGGCTGCTGCTATGCCAGTCCCAATCAGGAGGGGGGTGCTATGACAGCTCGTCTTTTCCTGTGGGAAAGCTCCCCTTGGGGGTAGACTATTTGTTCCATCTCTTCCTCTTTGAGGAATGTTAGGCCTGGGATCAGGAAGACCAAGATGCAGGGTCCAGGGGGGTCTAAGGGGAGGCATGAATATGCATAAGTCCCACAGAGAATGAAGATTCCTGGATTGGTGCAATTATTTGTGCTGTTCCAGAGAACCCAAGTGGAACAGAAGGAGGGAGCAGAGTTTGTAAGACCAGCGTAGTTGGGACTAGAGTAGTCAATACAGGTTAGGTTTGAAGAGGCTGAGAGTAGGACATTGTCAGAGACTGGCCCAATGAGTTGTGTAGTTTTCCATTGGGAAGGGGAAGTATAGTTGCCCTGTGACAGCCAGGTTGAGGGTAAGGGAATGGCTCTGTGTGGTGAGGGAGACAGTGACATGCATATCCAACACTGGGATGTGTTGTGTGCACTGAAAGAATTGGAAGGAAGAGTTGAGAAGGCGGGTAAGGTGTTGGTTGCCAGAGGGAGGTTTTAGAAGAGGCCGTGATCGGGAAAGGAGGTCTAGGTGTTTGTAAGGCTCAGGGGTCACCTGTAACCGGGAAGTTATGTTCTTTATGACTTGTTCTTGTTTCTTCTCCCGATTTTGATGTAGTACCCCACCCCCATCTGAGTACCCCCAGTGGGCAATGGGATAGAAACATATGTTTCTTCCATTTGGCTTATGGCAGGTACTCACGAAACTCCCTCTCTTTTGTACTTTGACAGTGAGTAGGGATTTGGGCTTCCCGCCCCCGAGGTTCATGGCGCGTGGTTTTGGAGCTGTATTATAACATGAGGAATGTACGTGGGAATAAATGTCTGAGCAGGGGCAGGGAGTGGCCAGAAGGCTGGGGAGTGCAGCGAGGATAAGGAGCAGGGGAGTCATGGGCTGTTAGTTAGGCAGTGCAGAGGAAATAGCGCCCTAGGAGCAGAACCCAGCTAGCAATGTAGGCGATACCCACGGAAAGACGAAGGATAGGTGGCCAGTCCTGAGGGGAGATGGTTACTAGGCCTATAGCAAGGATTAAGATTAGGAGTGCAGCTATAGTTAGAGAGACAGGGAGAGGCCAGTCAGGGTGAGGGGCAGAAGGCCCCAAGTTGGTGGTGGTTTGAATCTGAGAGGAACAGTGCTCATTAGGATGTAGAATGACGTAGAGAATGAGAGTGAAGAAATCAATTTCGTCTGGAGTCAGGTTGTAGAAGGTCCCCTGGAGCCACAGTTGAGACACCAGTGTAGTCAGGTCCTTGAAGGAGGTTCCTGTTGGGGTGCTGATCCAGAGGTCTTGCAGTAGTTGGGTCAGGAATAGTTGTAGGTTGAAGAGAGTGCAGGTCATTCAGTGTCCTCTCCGATGGTTGACAGGGGTTGTCGCCGGGTGAATTTTAAGGAGGTGGGTCCTGTGAGGGAGACCTGATAGCTGTCATTTAAGGAGGGCAGTGCAGGATTGGAGGTGACCCATTTTAGATGAGAGAGGTGTACCCAGGAGGTGGCCTTTTCGAGTTTAGCTGCAGTTGGGGTGAGAAGGATGATTTTGAATGACCCCTGCCACTTTAGGGTTAGGTCACCCTGGGGACTATCGGACAGATAGACCATGTCCCCAATTTGTAAAGGGGGCAAGGAGGCTTGGGGGGCAGGGGCAGGCAGATTGTGGTTGACGTATCTCCAGAGGGCGTTGCGGAGTTGCCTCAGCAGAGGGGAGTGTAGGAAGCTTGGTGTGGGAGGAGGCTCGGGGGGGAGTCCAGGAGGGAGCGTGGGCCTTCCTTACATCACCTCAAAGGGGCTCAGCCCCAGGGACTTTCTGGGCAAAGCCCGTATTCTGAGGAGAACCATTGGCAAAAGTTTAGTTCAGTCCAGAGGTACCTCGAGCGTTAGTTTGGTAAGGGTTTCTTAGATTATTCTATTCATTCTTTCTACCTTTCCTGAGGACTGGGGATGGTATGGAATGTGAAATTTTTAGGGTATCTGTAAGAATTGGACAAGTTGTTGGATGCCCTTGGATGTAAATTCTGGGCCATTATCAGACTGTAGGGATGGAGGCAGGCCAAACCTGGGGATAATTTCTGTGAGGAGGATTTGGGCCACAGTGTGGGCTCTTTTGTTTGTAGTGGGAAATGTTTTTATCTGTCCCGAAAAGGTGTCCACAAGGACCAGAATGTATCTGACTTTCTGGACCTGGGGCATATGAGTAAAGTCTATCTGCCAATCTTGTGCTGGGAAGCTGCCTCGCATTTGATGGGTTGGAAAGGATGTCGGTTTAAGGTTGGAATTGGGGTTAGTACGTTGACATGTTTGACAGGAGCAGGTAAGGTTATCTAAATATTGTTGGTCAGCATTGGTTATGGGGAAGTGGTTACGGAGGAACTGTTGGAGTGTCTTGGATGAGGGATGAAAAAGTGAGTGTAGATAAGAGAGGATTTCTCTGGTGGTGGGAGGGTCGGGTGGAGTCAGAGCTAAGATGACAGGGGACTGGAGGGAGGGATGGGACAGGGCTGTCTCCTTTGCCTTCTGGTCAGCAGCGTTGTTGTAGGCTGATATGAGACTTCCCTTTTGATGTCCCCTACAGTGGAGGATGGTGGCTTTGTTTGGTAAGAGTGCTGCCTCTAGAAGTTTGTGGATCAGGTCTGAATTAATAATGGTGGATCTCTTTTGGGTTAGGAAACCTCTTTCTCTCCATATTAGGATGTTTGAGTGAAGTATGTTATAGGCATATTTGGAATCTGGGTGGATGTTAACCTTTAAAGTTTGTGGATCAGGTCTGAATTAATAATGGTGGATCTCTTTTGGGTTAGGAAACCTCTTTCTCTCCATATTAGGATGTTTGAGTGAAGTATGTTATAGGCATATTTGGAATCTGGGTGGATGTTAACCTTTATATCTTTAGCCAGAGTTAAAGCTGTGATGAGAGCTATCGGTTCTGCCTGTTGGGAGGTGGTGTGAGATGGCAGAGGTGAAGCTTCAATTGTCTGGGTTTTGTGATTGTGACGAAGGTCCCCCTGGATGATGGCATATCCTGCTGCAAAGGGTGGAGATTTTTGAGAGCTGCCATCAACAAACCAGTGTGGGATGTCTGGGTCTAGGATGGGCTGATCTGTTAAATGTTGGAAGGGGTTTTGGGTAAGATCTACTGCAGCTATGTAGGAGGGAGTCTATTGTAGAGGACATGGGTAATAAGCTGGTGGGGTTAAGGGGAGAGCAGGGGGAGAATGAGAGCTGAGGGTCGAGGAGAAAGGCATGTAGGACCTGTACCCTGGAAGGGGGAAGGGAGAAGAAAGCCCGATGTGATAGCAAGTCTCGGAAGGTGTGCGGAGAACAGACTGTTAAAGGGGCATGTCTAGAGAGTTTGTTTGCTTCGGGTACGAGGGCTGCGATAGCAGCCATGGCCTGTATGCAGGGAGGCCACCCCTTGGTCACCATGTCCAGCTGTTTTGACAGATAGGCTATGGGAGCACAGGTGTCTCCAGCCTGCTGACATAGAAGCCCCAGGGCCTGTCCTTGGTTGGAATGTGCAAAGAGAAAGAATGATCTGGTGTGATCTGGCAGGTGGAGAGTTGGCACTCGGAGGAGGCTCTGGGTGAGCTGGCGAAGAGGATTGGCCAGCGAGGAGGGATTAAAGAGGGGCTCATCCAGACATCCTTTAGTTGCCTCATAGAGCAGCTTTACAATGAGGGAGAAGTTAGGGATCTAGATACGGAAAAAATTTAGGAGGCCGAGGATAGACAGGAGTTCCCTTTTCATTTTTGGAAGTGGACAGTTAATTAAGGCCTGAATTCTATCTGGGAGAATAATTCTTTGTTGATGGGATATGGAAAGCCCTAGGTAGGCGACATTTGCCTGGGCTATTTGGGCCTTAGATTGGAATACCCAATAACCCCAGGATCCCAGGGCCCCAAGGAGTTTGGCAGTATGATGGAGGCAGAGTTTTCGGGTTGGGTTACAAAGGAGGAGGTCATCTACGTATTGGAGGAGATGACTCGGGGCTAGGTTGAGTGTCTGTAGGTCCTTTTGTAAAGCCTGTCCAAAAAAGTGGGGACTGTCTCTGAACCCCTGGAGGAGAACTGTCCATGTTAGTTGTTGGGAAACGTGAGTCTCGGGGTCTTGCCAGGTGAAGGCGAAAAGGGGTTGGGAGAGGGGGTGGAAGGGGATGGTGAAAAAAGCATCTTTGAGATCTAATACCGTGAAGTGAGTTGCGGTCAGGGGTATGGCAGACAGAAGGGAGTAAGGATTAGGGACTACTGGGAATGTTGATGTGATGGCCTCATTGACTTTTTGCAGATCCTGGACCAGTCTCCAAGAGTTTGATCCCTTCTTTACTGCCAGAATAGGGGTGTTGTGTGGTGAATGGGTAGGAATTAGGATAGAGGCTTGAAGAAGATGGTCTATGATAGGCTTAAGTCCCTTTTGGGCCTCTGGGGTGAGAGAGTACTGTTGTTGGGTGACTATAGTTGAGGGGTGTTTTAGGGTAACGTGGACTGGGGGATGATGTTTGGCTATGGGTGGGTGATAAGGGTCCCAGACTTGGGAGTCTAAGGCAGGTAGATCCAAGGGAGGTCAGGAGTGAGGGATAGGGACCATCCAGGTGCTATCTGCATGCAGAACATAGAGACTGTATCGAGGGGGTGGGTATGGTAATAAAGACCCCCAATTTGGATAACAAATCTCTCCCTAGGAGTGCCATCAGATACTGAGGCATTATGAGGAATGAGTGTATAAGGGTCGATTTTCCAAATTGACAGAGTAATGGAGGGCTGATTTCTGGCCTTAGGGGAACTCCAGAGACCCCCTTGACTGTGAGTTCTGAATCTTGAGTTGGGCCAGAGTAGGAAGTTAAGAGAGAGAAAGTGGCTCTAGTGTCTACTATAAAAGAGGTCTTTTTTTCAGCCACTACCCCGACTACCCTAAGTTTCAGGCTCATGTTTGGGACATAGGCTGGGGAACCCGGGCCCCATCATTGGAACAACTCTCGTAGAGTTGGGCTGGGGTTCTGGGGAGAAGTGGGGATCTCTCCAGATGCACCAGGGCGTCCCTGTGGACTTCCACTCTCCAGGCCTGGGAGGTGGGGACCTCCCCAGGGGTGCCAGGGCATCCCCGGGGACAGTCCATCTTCCAGTGTCCCCACTGGCCACAGGTTGGGCATGCTTTTGTGGGGGGCTGCGGATTTGGGCATGCCTTTGCCCAGCGTCCTAACTGGTTGCATTGGAAGCAGGGTCTGGGGGGGAGGGGGTCTTAAGCCCCGTTCTGGGATGACTTGGGCCAGGCTGATCTCTTTTCTTAATTGCTGCTGCAAAAAAGCCATATTATCTTTTCTCTCACGTTCTTTTTCTCTCTTAGCCTCCTCCTCTCTATTATTGAACACCTTGAAGGCTACTTCTAGAAGGACTCTTTGCGGGGGGGGGGGGGGTCTCAGGGCCCTTTACTAGTTGTTGAAGCTTGTATCTGATGTCAGGGGTGGACTGGCTGATGAATTGAACGTGAAGGTAGAGTAACCCAGCAGGGGTAGTGGTATCTAGGTTGGTATACTTCTGGACTGCCTCTGTGAGGCGTGCCAAGAATAAGGCTGGATTTTCATCTGCCCCTTGGGTGATTTTTCTGACTTTATCATAACTGACATGGATATGAGTATTTTTCTGCATTCCTTCTAGAATGCAGGTGATCATATGATTGAGTCTCCTGAGACCTGGGTCACCGGGCTGGTAAGTCCAGTGGGGATCTAACTGAGGCACCGCCTCATCAGCAACTGGGCTGTCCCGGTCTTGGTTATGTAAATGATCAGCATGGGCTCTTGCCACTTGTCAGATACAGTCTTTTTCATCTGGAGTGAGAGTGGCATTTAGGATATAATATACATCATTCCACGTGAGGTTATAGGCCTAGGAGAGTCTCAAGAATTTTTTTCTGTATCTGGTAGGATTTTCAGAAAATGATCCTAACTTTTCTTCTATCTGGCTCATATCTGACAATGAAAATGGCACATGGACTCAGGTGGGGCCCCCTGGTCCTGCCACCTCTCTCAGGGGAAACATGTGCTGGGTACGTGACAGTGTGGCAGGGGGGGAAGGAATGGGGGAGGGGGAGTCGGGGAGAGGTTTCAGGCCAGTAGGTGAGTTTGATGAAGGGGAAGGAGAGGGTTGGTAGGGTGGCAGGTAGGGAGGGGGCTCCTCCGCAGGGTTCAACTCCGGGGGTGCGGAAGGTTGCGGTCTGCAGTTACTTGAGGAAGAAGAGCCCTTTCGCTTGGGAGGCAAGGTGCATAGAAGGACCTCATGGGCGGAGCAGGTCTGGCACAGGGAAGGCCTGCTCCGAAGGGCCCAAAAGGCTTGGGCATATGGGATTTCCGACCACTTGCCATTCCGTTTCAGGTAGTCGGTGAGATTTCGAAGAATGTCAAAGTCAAATGTGCCGATTTCAGGCCAGCGGTCTTGACTGTCTAATTGGTATTGAGGCCAAATCTGTGTACAGAGTTGTTTTAAGCGGTTAGCTTTGAGTTCAATGAGTGAGAGTGGTTTGAGACTTTTGAGAACACAGGTCAGAGGGGAATCTTTTGGAACAGATTGGCCAGACCCCATAATGAAAAGGCAAGCAGAGGCTCCTGTTGGGAACTCGAGTCGTCACCCATAGTCGCAGTAGGAGTTATGAGAAGAGAGCTCTGTGTCGAGGTGCAGCGTCCCCCACTGTCGCCTACAGAGTGGCCCTGGGCCGGGGGTCCCTGGGACCCGGAGAGGACTGAGCTCTAGGGCACCTCTAGAACTCCGTCCAGATCGGATCTTACCTTAATCTAGGGGCCGGCTTGAGTGGAGTGTTGCATGTAGAGCAGTCGAATGGCAAGAGGTCCCTATTCTGGAGGTCATCAGAGAGAGAGAGAGGGAAAGAGGGTAGAGCTGAGGCCTGGGGGTATGCAAAGCATAAAGAAAACCTTTGCACAAGGCTTGCACCGCTCACGAAGGCACTAGGCGTCCCCAAGGGGAACTTAGGAGCCCTGGCAGAAAAGTGAGCTCAGCGGATGTTCGCACTCCCAGACACTGGGGGAGAAGGGGAAAATAGTGAGAGGGAGGGAGAGTGAGCGAGTGAGGGAGAGTGAGACGAGTGCCTCGCCCCCTCCCAGGTTTCAGCACCAAGAATGTAAGGTACAGTTCTGGAGAGGCAGAAAAGGAAAGACGACCTCAACAGAAGTGGGTTACCTTCATTCAGGCAAGGAGGGGCAACAGTCGGCCTAACAACCAGGCTGAGCGCTGAGAGGGATCAGGGAGGCTTCACATTTATAGGGAGGTTTGCGGAAGCGATAAAGGATACGTTAATCAGGTGGGATGTTTTGGGTATTCTTTAGTTGAGATGGCATTTGTAGTTGGACAAGGGGTGATAAGTCTTCTGGGCAGGTGTAGGGGGTGGAAGGTTTCTGGACAGCGGATGAGGAGTCCCAGATAGATGCAACCAGCCTGGAGCATCAAGGCGGGACCTAAAGTTCTGTTTTGTTTTCTTCGAAGTTAGATGATTCAGCAAGGGCCTTTGAGACTATTGTTTTCTTTCCTAGGCCCAAAAGACTCCTTCCCCCTTCATTAGCTTTTCCATTTGGTGAAAGGTGTTATTTACAACCCTCTTTTGATACGGATCTCCTCTTGGCCTTATGGCCTCTATTGTTCCTTGCTTCCTTGGTTAACTTGTAAAGTCTGGTCTCTTGATCTTTAACTAAAGAAACTACTGGTATATATACTCTGACAGAATTCAATAAAGCACCTTTGCTCCATCAGAGCTTGGAGCAAGCTCTTTCTTTCTTTCTTTTCTCTTCTGCTCTCTCTCTCTCTCTCTCTGGCTGATTCCCTGGAGCACAAAGCCCAGCTGTGTAACCCAGTGAATATTAGCCTCTTTCCTTCTTTCACTTTCTTATCGTCGACTCTGGACCACCAGGTTCCGGTCCAATAAAGACCAACAGTCAGTTGGCCCAAGGGCTGAGCTGCACCTGCCTGGGAGGGTGGCTCTGGCGCATCTCAGGGCAGGACTGCCAGGGACTCATCTTCTTTTCCTGTGCCCCTTCCAGCACCATGACATCCTGCCCCGTCCTGCAGAGGGAGAGGGTGTTCCAATCGGGAGCCCACATCTACAGAATCCCGGCTCTGCTCTACCTGCCTCAGCAGGAGACCCTACTGGCCTTTGCAGAAGAGCGGACGAGCAAGAAGGACGAGCACGCCAAGCTCATTGTCCTGCGCAGGGGAAGCTACGATGCAACCACCCGCCAGGTCCAGGTAAGGCCAGATGGGGGTACCACTGCTTTGCCAGGCATACGGGGACCAGCCCACCCTTAGATGACTGAGGTCTGGGGGCCAGAGTGTTCAAGGACCCATCAGAGATGGACAGAGAAGGTGTCCCCCGGTGATCGCCCGGATCTCACATGGGTTCACCCGGAACTAGTTCGGCTGGCCTGGCTGCATCTGCTTCGGTACAAGTCAGTTGGGGAAACTGGTTTTGGAAAGATTCCCCTACATCCTTGAGACACTGAGGGAGGACCAGCTCAGCATCACCTACCTGCGAGGCAGTTCATCCTCTGAGTAAAATTGACCTGGAGTGGGTAGTTGGGGCGGTTGCTCGGGTCCTGAAGTTCCAGCATGTAGATAAGTAATTCTGATGAAGATCCTCAAGGCAGGCTTATTACATATGAAGGATTTAATATTGTGACTATCTTTACTGTGTGGGCATTGCTTCCTTGTAGTTGCTTAGAGCAGGGGTTTGAAGCAGAGGGACCTGGGTTCATGTCCCGGTTCCACGGCTTACCATACTACGGCCTTGGGAAGCTCATCTACCTTATCTGAGCCTCTCAGTCTGCAGATGTGCCCCAGGAGTTAGAGCTTTGGGTTAGATAAGACCATGAGTGTTAGACCCTTGGCACGTGTCTGCCCTTAGACTCACTCACTGGGGGATGGTTATTAAGGAATAGGAGCTTCCCTGCTAGTGGTAAAGAACCCATCTGCCAATGCAGGAGATGTAAGAGATGCAGGTTCGATCCCTGGGTTGGGAAGATCCCCTGAAGGAGGGCAAGTCTACCCACTCCAGTATTCTCACATTAAAGAACAGGGATAGACAGCAGAGCGGCAGCATCTATGACATCGACTCGGGTACTAGGGAAGCTCACTGAGTCCTAGGGTCATGGTGCTGCCCCCTCTCAGACCACATTAGTAGCCTATGAAGTATAAAAGATGGGAGGTGATTGTCACGCTCGGTCCCACCCTGGCAGACCATTTATTATTCCTAAGGCTTTGCTTTTCAAGAAGGGGAAGCTGGATGGAGCTGGGCAGGGCTGGTGCCCAAAGCATCTTTGTGCTTGAGGTCTAGCACGTCATGGGTGCCCCAGATGTGTGCTGGAGGGATTGGGTGGGGTTGGGCCATCTTGCAGGGAGTGAGGCGGAGCCATGGCTCCCGCTCTGGGAAGTGTTGTGAAAATGAATGAATGCTAGGCCAAGAGTTCTCCTCCACGAGCCTTCACGCTAACTCGCCCGCCCCCAGAGCACCACCCTTGTCACGGTCTCTGGCCGTCCCCGGATTATGCTTCTCCTCCTCTCCTCCCCCGCAGTGGCACCCGCAGGAGGCTGTGTCCCAAGCCCAGCTGCAGGGCTGCCGGTCCATGAACCCAAGCCCCCTGTATGACGAGACCACGGGCACCATCTTCCTCTTCTTCATCGCCATCCCCGGGCAGGTGTCGGAGCATCACCAGCTGCAGAGCGGGGTCAACGTGACACGGCTGTGTCAGGTCACCAGCCGGGACCACGGCAGGTCCTGGAGCCCCGCCACCGACCTCACAGACTCCGTCATTGCCTCCGCCCACAGTGAATGGGCCACGTTCGCTGTGGGCCCCGGGCACTGCCTGCAGCTGCACAACCCCACGCGGAGCCTGGTGGTGCCAGCCTACGCGTACCGCAGGCACCACTCCCTGCAGGAGCCTTCCCCCTCTGCCTTCTGCTTGGTCAGCCACGACCACGGGTCCACTTGGGTGAGAGGGAGCTTCGTGGGCCAGGGCACTGTGGAGTGCCAGGTGGCCGAAGTCGGGGATGGGCAACAGAGGGTGGTGTATCTGAACGCGAGAACCCCCTTCCGAGTCAGGGTCCAGGCCCAGAGTGCCAACAACGGCCTGGATTTCGAGCAGCCTCAGCAGGTGCAGAAGCTGGTGGAGCCCCCCAACGGCTGCCAAGGGAGCATCATTGGCTTCCCCCGCCCCCACGCAGGCTCCGATCCCCCCGCCTGGTGGCTGCTGTACACCCACCCGACTGACCCACAGCAGAGATCCAACCTGGGCGTGTACCTCAACCGGTGGCCCCCCACGCCCGCGACCTGGTCGGAGCCCACCCTGCTGGCTCCCGGCAGCTGCGCTTACTCAGACCTGCAGAGCATGGGCACCGGCTCCGACGGGTCACCCCAGTTTGGGTGTCTGTACGAATCGGATGATTACGAGGAGATCGTCTTTGTCATGTTCACCCTGAAACAAGCCTTCCCAGCTGAGTTTTTGCCGCAGTGAGCAGCGAGACCGCTGGGTGCTGCCCATGAGGGCTTTGCCCACCAAGGGGCTGGCGGTTCTCTTCCAGCCAGGCCCCTCTGGACGGGAGGGGTGGGGGGTGGTTAATTCATTTCAATGTATGACAAAAACTACTGTAATGATGTAAAGTAATTAGCCTCCAACTAATAAAAATAAATGGAAAAAGAAAAAAAAAAAAAGTGTGCCTAGTGTGAGTCTGCCGCTGGTCTCCTTCCCTCCTCCATTGTCTCAGCCTCCCCAGCAGATTCTATTTTCAGCCCAGAAACTGAAGGAACCTGGCTTCTTGGAGCCCCTGGGGTCAGCCTGCCTGCTCCCCCAGGTTTTCTGCAGGCCTTCATGAATTATCTAGTCTGGCCCATTTCTCCTTAGCTCATCACGTTCTTGGGCTCAGGCTGGGACAAAGATGCAAATTAGCAGAGACATGCGTGTACGTTTGCGTGTCTGTGTGTGTCTCTCTGTGTGTCCTCAATGCTTTAGAGCAGGGACCCTGAGCACAGCCTTGCAGGGGGTAAAGCAGGGTCTAGGAAAAGTAATTTGGCTTATATTGTTGTATTAGCTTGCCAGGGCTGCTGTAAAAAAGTACCACCAACTTAGTGGCTTAAAACAACAGGAATTTACTCTCTCACAGTTCTGGAGGCTAAAAGCCCCAAATCAAGGTGTCCACGGGTTGTGCTCACCCCAAGGGAGCACGGGGCGCGTTCTTCCCTGCCTCTTCCAGAACCTGAGGCCTCCCTTGGCTCGTGGCTGCATCACTTTCAGGTCCGCCTCCATCTTCCCATGGCTCCCTCCTCCTTCCTCTCTGCTTTCTCTTCTGAGGGCCCACCTGGACAATCCAGGATGACCCTGCACTTAACTACATCTGCAAAGACTCTTTTCCAAATAATGTCACATTCACAGCTATGGTTTTTCCAGTGGTCATGTATGGATGTGAGAGCTGGACCATAAAGAAAGCTGAGCACTGAAGCACTGATGCTTTCAAATTGTGGTGTTGGAGAAGACTCTTGAGAGTCCCTTGGACTGCAAGGAGATCAAACCAATCATTCCTAAAGGAAATCAACCCTGAATACTCATTGGAAGGACTGATGCTGAAGCTTTAATACTTTGGCCACCTAATGGGAAGAGCCAACTCATTTGAAAAGACTCTGATGCTGGGAAAGATTGAGGGCAAGAGGAGAAGCGGGTAGCAGAGGATGAGATGGTTGGCTGGCATCATCAACTCAATGTACATGAGTTTGAGCAACTCTGGGAGATAGTGGAGAACAGAGGAGCCTGGTGTGCTAAAGTCCAGGGGGTCACAAAGAGTTGGATACAACTTAGCAACTAAACAACAACAAAAACCCCAATACAACAAGTTTAAGAAAAAAATCACTCTGAAATGCTCTGCTTTCACAGAAGTCGTGTGGTCGCATGTTAAGTGCTTTACTCGTATCTGACATGAGTTTGAGCAAACTCCAGGAGATGGTGAAGGACAGGGAGGCCTGACGTGCTGCAGTTCACGGGGTTGAAAAGACTCAGACTCGACTTTGCGACTGATCAACAACGCAACAGTAAAGAATGAACCGCTACACACAATAGCATGCATGATTTTCAGACACTGTGTTGAGTGAAAGAAGACTGACTCAAAAGAGGACACACTTTATGATTTTATTTATATGAAATTCAAGAACAGACTAAACCAGTCTTCCAAATAAATCAGCAGTGGCCAGCTCTATGGAGGAGAGCTGTTGACTAAAAATGGGCTAGAAGGAGACTTCTGGGTGCTGGGGACCTTCTCTTGCTTGATCTAGTGCTGGTGACGTGAGTGATTCCATGTGTTAAAAAGAATGAGCTTATGAGCACAAGGTTTGTGTACCTCACTCTATGTATGTTATACCTCAATAATAAAATAAACACTGAACTGAACAGTAGATGTGTTAGTTAAATCTCCACATCAGTATATTGTGTTGGGTTGTAAAACTTTGGAAGGGGAGACTTTTTAATTAAAAAATTGGAGGAGGTGAATATTATTAATGAACTTTTGGGGGGAATAATTTTAGATTTACAGAAAAGTTACAAAGTTAGTACAGAGTGTTCCCGAACACCCCACACCCAGTCTCCCCTAATATCATCTTACATAACTGTGGTACATTTGTCAAAACAAAGGCTTCACTGGTACTTTACTATTAACTAAACTCTGGACTTCATTCAGATTTCTCTAGCTTTTCCACTGATGTCCTTTTCCTGTTCTGGGATTTAATCCAGGATACATTCAGTGAAACTGAATTTTTACTGTAATTTGTGTCCTTAGACACACACACACACACACACGTGAATGTGTGCCTGCTAAGTCACTCAGTCGTGTCCAACTCTTTCCGACGCTATGGACTGTAACCTGCCAGGCTTCTCTGTCCATGGGATTCTCCAGGCAGGAATACTGGAGTGGGTTGCCATGCCCTCCTCCGGGGGATCTTCCTGACCCATGGATCAAACCCACATCTCTTATGTCTCCTGCATTGGCAGGCAAGTTCTTTTCCACTACCACCACCTGGGAAGCCCCCCCCCCCCGCCCCCTCGCCGACACACACACACACACAAATACTCCTTCCAGCAGGGCCCTCCCCTCCTCCTAATTTCCCCTAAAAAATGGAAGTCACTCAGTCATGTCCGACTCTTTGTGACCCCATGGACTGTATTGTCCATGGAATTCTCCAGGCCAGAATACTGGAGTGGGTAGCCTTTCCCTTCTCCAGGGGATCTTCCCAACCCAGGGATGGAACCCAGGTCTCCCTTATTGCAGGTGGATTCTTTACCAAGTGAGCTATCAGGGAAGCCTGCTTGACAAACAAATGCATAAACAAACCAACACAAAGAAGTGAGCTTCAGCCCTGGACAACTGGGGTGGAAATGTGAGAAGCAGTTCAGACTCTGAAGCCTGGGGAAGGGGGTCCTTAATTCAATTACACAGCACTCCACCCCCCAAGGCTGTGCCACATGGGGGGCAGGGACCTTGGCCAGTTGTGAGCCCACTGCCACAACTGGGCTGCCACACCAGCCACTGTGGGTGCTGGTGCAGGATATGTGTGTGTCTGTGCTCTTGTGCGTGTCCATTGGACACCCGCTGCCTGGCCTGAGCTGGGGGCTCAGCCCTGTTCAGTGTTCTGCTGGGTGACCCCACAAGCGGGGCCCAGACAGAGCAGGGACCAGGGGAACCTGGCCTCATCTGCACCCCCCTCAGCACGAGCAGGGAGACCTGGGCCTCCAGGTTTGGGCACCCCCTTGGCCCTGGGATCAACTCAGAGCTGCTGGCATGCACCTCAGCTCTGTCTGTCAGCACGCCCCTTTTAACCGTCCGCTCGGGTGGGTTTCCCTGGTGTCTCAGCAGGTAAAGAATCCACCTGCTACGTGGGAGACCTGGGTTCGATCCCTCGGTTGAGAAGATCCCCTAGAGAAGGGAAAGGCTACCAACACCAGTATTCTGGCCTGGACAATTCCATGAACTGTATAGTCCATGGGGTTGCAAAGAGTCGGACACGACTGGGCGACTTACACGTTCACTTTCACTTTCTGGTGTGGCCTTTCCACCTGGGATGGTCATGGGAGCCTTTCCACATCTATGTCCTGGCTTCCAGCAACAGCGACCGAGGCCTGGACTCCTGGGGCCTGGGGACCAGCTCTGGGAAGCCACAGAGAAAGGGGTTCTGGGGCTGGGGAGTGAACGTGGCTGCTGGCATACCTGCCCCTGGGGAGGGGGCACCAAGGCCCTGTGACAAGGCCGGTATGATAGGCTGAATAATGACCCCAAAAATGTCTGCCTCCTGGTCCCTAGAACCTGTGACTGTGGCCTTACGTGGCTACAGGGACTTTGCAGATGGGGTTAAGTTGGGGATCTTGAGACAGGAAGGTCATCCTAGGTGAGTCGGGGATTGGAAAACATAGACGTGATGACATGGGTCTGTAACACAGGGAGGCAGGGGGAGGGCTGATTACAGACAAAGAGGACGTGATGCTAAAAGTCAACGCTGCACTACTGGCTTCAAAGTTGCAAGAAGCCACAGGCCACAGAGGGCAAGCAATGTAGCTCTAGGGGCTGGAGAAGCAAGGAATGACCCTGGAGGGGGTGTGGCCATGCCCCTACCTTGATGTTAGCCTGAAAAACTGATTCTAGGTTTGTGCCCTTCAGAACTAGAGGAGAACGGCTTGTGTGCATGCTCAGTCGTGTCCGACTCTTTGTGACCCCATGGATTATAGCCCACCAGGCTCCTCTGTCCATGGGATTCTCCAGGCAAGAATACTGGAGTGGGTTGCCATTTCCTCCTCTGGGGGACCTTCCTGACCCAGGGATTGAACCCACATCTCCTGAGTCTCTTGCACTAGCAGGCAGATTCTTTACAACTGAGCCACCTGGGAATCCCAGAGGAGAATAAGCGTGTATAGTTTTAAGCCACCAAGTGGGTGGGAGTTTGTTACAGTGACCACAAGAAGCCAACACGACCCTAGTCTTCTTGCCTCAGCAGCTGAGAAGGGGGACCGGGCATGGTGAGGCGAGAGTTTGCTTCTGTGCTCAGCTCTGAGCGTGACAAGCGCATCCCAGGACACCTCAAGGTCACAGTGCCCCCGCCAAACATACAGAAAATGAGAAGCTAGGAAAGGGATAATTTCTATCATGTTTGCTGTTGTTCAGTCTCTAAGCCACACCCTACTCCTTGTGACCCCACGGACCGCAGCATGCTAGGATTCCCTGTCCTTCATTATCTCCCGCAGTTTGCTCAAACTCATGTCTGTTGAGTCGGTGATGCCATCCAACTATCTCGTCCTCTGCCACATTTCTGTCATGTCCTCATGTAATTCCTCTCTTTGGCCCATCCTCATATTGACGTCTAACTTCCCTGTTGTCACAACCTTTCCTGCAATGACAGTATCCTCCCGTCCATCCCGAGGAACCCAGGCCTTCCTGATCTGAAAGGACTCCATCTTCCAAACCCTCAGGAGAGGGAAGGGAGACT